GCCGCGGCCGCCTCTGCCTCTGCCTTGGCCTTCTTTGAGGACCTGAGGGAGAAAGATGATCATGAGTAAATACCATTATCAAAGTGCTCCACAACTTACATGTCTGAAGTGTTTGGGGTGGGTGGGAAGTGTTAAAGGTTAAAGTTCGAAATTAGAGGGGGAGGAATCTTTTAAAGTTTTTTTCGAAACGCTTGGAAGTCTCGAGGTGGAGTTGGATGCTTTGAGGTGGACTGCAGCTGCTCGTCTGTTCCTCTTTCTCTCTCTTTTTCACTTTCACTCTTGTAAGCCTTGAGGTGCACTGGTGACCCCTTTTCACTGATGAGAAAGAAGAGCTCTCAGTTTGTTGTTTGGAAGACGCTCCACACTGCCAGCAACTGTTCAGGTCCTTAGGCGGTGACGGTGATGACGGCTGCTGCGGCTTGGTTTCGAAACTCGAGCAAGCGAGAGCAAGAGCAAGAGCTATCGAGCCAGCGAGCGAGAGAGGCTTGCTCTGGTCAAAGTCAATCACAGACGGGTGGAATGTCTAGTGGAATGGCTGTGCGGCTGGCTGGCTGGCTGTGTGCGGTTGTGGCTGTGAGATGGGTTAGAGAGCAGCTCAAGCGAGTGACTCAGAAGCCGAGACAGCAGCAGCCAAAAGGTTCCAAAGCTGAGTCGGACAGTTCAGCAGCAGCAGCAGCAGCTTTTTGGACTCCAAGCTGGAAGAAGGAAGGGAAGAGAGGAAGGGCTCTGTGCGTCGCCGTTAGCTCGTCCAAGGAGTGCCACAGCAGCAGTCGTCGCAGTGTTTGGTAGTGCGTGGGTAGCACACAGCTTTGGTAGCACGTAGGCCTACTACTCTCTTTGGCTGGCTAGGAACCTTCTTCTGCTTGCCAACNTGCCGCCGCCGATGATGATGATGATGACCGGTGGTGGCGTTATATAGTGGCGACAACCGCCAAACTGGATACACTCCACAACTTTACAAGGGCTATATAGCGGCAGCAGCAGCAGCAGCAGTCGCCGAGGGCAGCCAGGATCTTCTCATTGCAGCTATAGAAAATGGAAAGAAGAAGAAGAAAGGATCCCCAGCTAGTCTGTCTGGCATCTCTTGTCTTCCATGTCTATGTCGATGCTGTCACCGCCGCCTCTCTTCTCCCTGCCCTTACACGTGTTTCATTTGCTGTACAACATTTCTGCTGTAGATGAAGTGCGCGGGTGGCGGCGGCGACGGCCTATGCTGAGAACCGGTGCAGAAGTGTTCCGAGAAATTGGCTCTGTCGAAATGTCATGTCCCGTGGGTGGACACTTTCCTCTCTCTCTTCCCTTCCATTCCTCATCATCGGGAGAACTTTTCACCAGAACTTTTCCACCATATCATATACTTTTTGGCGGTTCCGTGCCGGTTATTAATTGGATAGAAGAGGTGGTGGTATTCAGGGAACATTCAAAAAAATCATTTGCAGATAAAAGTGCACAGAAGCAGCAGCTTGTTCAAAAGTGAAGCGTTTCTTTCAGATGAGAAAAAAAGGAGGAAAAGGGAGAAAAGGTGTGTAAGGAGTTCGCGCACAGTGCAGGAGATGATGTACAGGAGAGGACGAAAAGGNGTTCCGTGCCGGTTATTAATTGGATAGAAGAGGTGGTGGTATTCAGGGAACATTCAAAAAAATCATTTGCAGATAAAAGTGCACAGAAGCAGCAGCTTGTTCAAAAGTGAAGCGTTTCTTTCAGATGAGAAAAAAAGGAGGAAAAGGGAGAAAAGGTGTGTAAGGAGTTCGCGCACAGTGCAGGAGATGATGTACAGGAGAGGACGAAAAGGGAAACGAATGGAAAGGAAAAGGTGCCTAGTATGAGTTTGGGTAGTGTGTGTGTGTCTGAACGCCATTGAAATATAAATATGAATAGAAAAAAATGGATGCTGGTTGTGAAGGGGAGGAGGAAGAGGAGGTGGTGGTGGTGGTAGTGAGTAGTCCCCAGTCTTAATGTGTGTATTCATCCTATGAGTTCATGTTTACTATCGCTGTTGGTTCGAATGATAAAAAGATTACTAGTGTCGGTGTGTGTGCTTTCCAGTCCCGGTTATTGGTAGTAGTCGCGGCCCCCGTAGCTGTTACTTCCGTCGCCCACTGCGTAGCGTGATCTGCTGCTGCTGTACATGCTACCACCGCCTCCTCCGCCACCGCCGCCGGCGCCGCCATTCGGATCGCCGTACTCGTTCTCCGGTTTGGAGCCACCGTAGCCACCGCCGATCGGCGG